CTGTGTTGACTTCAAAAATTTTAGATTCTAGAGATACGGTTATTACTGAACTGAAAGCTGATCCTGAATTTGGAAATATCTATGCTTATTTGAAAGACCCCGAAAGCTTTGAGCACACAGATATCGATGCGATAAGAAATAGAGCAAAAAAACTATGAAATAATAGATAATTTATTATTCTATACGAAAACAACAAACGAAAATCTTGAGTATAAGCCAGTCATCCCAGCCTCGCTTCGATTAAGCATTTTGAAGGGAGTTGCACGAAAAAAAAACAGCGGGCCACCTCGGGGTCAGAAAGACTATAAAAAGGGTACGCGAGGCGGTATATTTCCCGCAATTATACAAAATAGTAACGGCGTATGTCAGGTCCTGCAATCAATGTCAGTTAATAAATGATATTAATTACAGCCCGGCCGGGTACTTAAATAGCATTCGCGCTACATTTCCGAATGAAATTTTAGGCATAGATCTTCTTGGTCCCTTCCCCCAGAGCGAGTTAAATAAAAAATCGTTTTCTTTTAGTAATAGTAGATCATTTTTCAAAATGGATAGAAATTGTTCCACTTAAACGCGCGTCAGCCAAAACAGTCGCAGATGCATTCTTACACAGATACATTTTTAAAATACGGTGCACCGATAAAAGTCATTAGCGATAACGGAAAACAATTCATTAGTCAAATATTTGAAAACATATGCAATGGACTTGGCATACGCCATATCAAAATGGTTCCGTATAGACCACAGGCTAACATAGCAGAAAGAGTTAATAAAAACATAGTAAAAATAATTCGCAGTTACGTGAGCACACATCACAAGCGCTGGGATGGCTACATAAATGAATTAGCTTATGCTTTAAGAACGGCACATCATGATACTACGGGAAAAAACTCCAGCAGAATTATTTTTAGGCAGAAAGTTAATTACGCCTTTAGATAAATTATTCTTTGTGCAACAAAGAGAGCAGGAGTTTAAACAAAAGATGTGCAAAAGTTGATTGATCAGGCGCTTAAAACCTCGGATACGGCAAGAAATAGGACAAAAGTTATATTATGATAGAAAACGCCGTGAAGCAGATTTTAAAGTTGGGGATAAAGTATTGAAGCGGAAATTTTCTTTATCAAGTGCCCCAGACAATTTTATGGCAAAGCTAGCTCCAAAGTTTGAAGGCCCCTATGTAATTCAGGAAATCAAAGGAGTAGTCTTATATCTTAAGAACGAGAGAGGGGAAATCTGTAAAGCAAGTCCCGACCAGGTGAAAAAATACTATAATCCAAATGATTTTGAAATCCTTAAAAGTTTCTTGCAGGACTCAAGTCTAAACGAAATAGAAGGTCCAGAGACTACAACAACTATTCCACCACCCAAGAAACAGAGAACTGAAGAGAGACCTAGCACTTCTACAACCCGGACGTCGGTATCAAAAAGAAAAAATGATTTTCAAACTCCGGCGTTTAAGAAAAACAAAAATACAGATGAACCGGGTAAAGAAACCGTGGTAAAGAGAAAAACACCACCTACAAAGGATGGCAGGAGAAATTACACATCAAGGAGAACGCGCACACGGCCACAGAGTCAGGTGCCAGCAAGGCCGCCGTTCCGGAAACTGAAACGCCAAGCAGGAGGCACAAAAATACGAGGAACAGAAGAAATTCAAGAAGGACTCCAGACCGGAGGACGTCAAGACCAGCCGTCCCAGCAGGAAAAGAGAAGAAACGGAAAGGCCAACAACCAGACGATTACTCCGTCAAGAGGCCAGCATGTAGAGGACGCAAAAGAAAAGCAACGTGGACGACACTCGGAGATCAATAAGGAGAAGATTGACATCCATGAAACCTCTAACTTGGGATCAATTTTGCCAAAAACGGATGACGGAGTTTCAAGCATCGAAAACTCAAAGATAAGTTAAAACCTTCTATAAATTTTTTTTTTCTCTTTTGTTCCGAAATGTTATGCATAAGTACGAAGTTCTATGTTTTGACGAAAGTCAATATGTCTCGGTTGAGACTTAGTTTTGTTTTACTTTATTTAGCTAAGGCAAAAGTATTATTTTCTTTAAGTGTAAAAGCTAACATAAAAAACAAGCATTTTCTGTTGGTCGAAAGACTAATTCTGTTATGTTAAAGCCAAAATTTGGCCGAAGATAAAAATAACTTCGTATTCTTGTATTAATAAGAATTTTAGTTTCAGTGCCGCCAGCTTGGCGAAGAATGAGTAAAGTAAAAATTTATTTTCTCTTATTCATTTTATGGTAAATTGTAAAAAGCATATGTATTAAAATTTTGTAAATGTATGTAAATACTTGAATGTTATGTAAAAGTAGAATTTAGTCTAGAAGCATAAAATTGTAGATGCTAAAAGTGAATGCTTAAAAGCAATGAAGTCAAAATTTAAGTATTAAACTGTAGATAAAGTCATGCTTTAGAGCGAAAGCCTGCATGTTTAAAGATGAATGAGGGGGAAGTTAGAATGAATGTGTTTTGTAGGGTTCTCCACCTACATTTGAATTTTTAAGAATATTAAAGTAGCTCATTGAGTTGTAGAATGTCGAGTAAGGTGTGTCTATTTGGTCGTTGAATTCTAACAAATCATGGTGGTTAGGGGAAGTGTTGTAAGACTAAAACACGAATATTCCCGTTTGACACCACACACGGTGGAGAGCCAGGGTAAAGTTAAATTAATGCTTGAAAAATTGAATGAATGTGAAGTAAGCAATAACTAAGAAAAACGAATCGTTTAAAAACAAAAATTTATTGTGTCAAGAAAGTGTAAATTATAATGTATGTAGAAAGATACTGATACTTATTCCTTCCAGATGCTGGAAGGAAAGACCAAGATTGATTGATGAAGTCCAGGAAAAGTTGCTGTAAGAAGAAAGCTTTGTAACGATCAACAGAATTTTAGTATACAAATTGTTACATAAGATATTTTTTTTGTGTAAACGAGGTTCTCGCCAGTTAGTTCAGAATTAGATAAACTTACAACAGGTCGTTTGTAGGACCTGCTTCCAAGTTTTCCAAATTCTGGCAGCGGCAAATGTAGGGTTTATATTTATTTTAACTAACATTTATTTTAAGTTTAAACTATCTTTCCTGTCAAGCCTTACTTTCCCCTGGAACTGCCAATGCCAGAATATGTAAATTTGAGTAGAACGCGCAAGGATTCAAATTATCAGCGGAAGTATTCTGATTTAAATAGAAGGAAACAAGTTCGGTGTGAGATATTCTTACTTAGCGAGCGCGGAGGTAGTTAGCGAGAATTGAAGAACCCCGCGTTGCGGCCTATGTGCTTGGCGGGAAGTAGTGGTAATCGTTCCAGTGAGCTTCAAGTCTGCTGAATTAGCAGCGGTATTGTAAAACGCGGTGAGTTAGTTATTTTAGAGAGCCTCGTAGTTAGAATCTTGTCTTTATTTTCTTTTCAGGTTATTATTTTTATTTGACTGCCGAGTTGGCACCGTCTGTAAGCGTCAAGAGAACGCAATTGTAATTTATTACGTTGAATAAAAAGGGACTTAAACCCTTCACAAGACTCTATCTTTTATACAAGTTTTCACAGTCACCTCTTGGTTGGTTGCGTGCAAGTTGGAGGCGCGCAACGTTATAAACAATTATCAAATTAATTACGAATTTAGTTAGTTAGATTTTTTTTATTTTTACGTGATAAAGTTGGGATTGAATCCAGAAGTGCCATCCAGTATCAGCAAAAGTAAAGGTAAAAGGTATGGCATGTCAATTAATATTTTATTTTAGCAACCTCTTCTCATTAATTTGCTTATTTTATTTATAGATCATTTGATTATATAAAATGTAATTTATTAAAGAATATTTAACAGATAAAAGATTTTCATTCAATGTTTGAAAATATTAAAAATTAAATAGCTGAATTATCTAAATTATTATTAATTTAATTGTATCAGTAATATTATTATTAAATTAATATTACCTATTAAAATATTTATAAACTGATGATGAATTGTACTAAGACAAATAGTTTACGATTACAGTTCTTTTAATGGTTTTTCTTTGAAATGTCACGAACTGATGTTTCTATGCATTTTAATTTAATTCTAGAATTTTAAAATTTCACGGTACGTCAGCTTAAAATGTATAAAGCGCAGATAAAAATTTTCTGTTGCGCAGCACTCGAAAGACAGAGCGTGAAATGGAAGAACCATTTAAATCTAACCGGGCTACTGCACTCACCCCTACATCACTGGTAGATATGCCCACTTTCGCCCCAAACCGGATGTTTACATAAATCTGGAATACGTGGTCGAACAGTATAGACTACCCCTTTAAGGTTGCAGCATATCGAGAAATCCTAAGTCATTGCCATTCAAGCAGCAGTAAAGCAACGAAATAAATTCTTTAGTACGTAGTGGGGGAGAGTATTGAAAAATTCAAATTGCTTTCGTCCATCTGTGCATATTCTGTTATTTTGAAATTATTACATTAAGTTCTGATTTGACTTGAACCCTCCATTATGATTAGTATGGATACCTAAGCTATGTGGAAAAGAAATTGGGAATGTCTCAGTGTGTAGAATCTTTAGGCATATTTTGAAACAGGAAACGGGAAAAATCTACGATGCCTTCGCTAGAATTCGAACTCCGGACCTTACAGCACTCGTTTGTAAGAATAACTCACATACAGATTCAGAAGCTCATTTCAAATTTAATTTCTAGTTCTCTACTGAGTTAGCCTTCTGATCAACAAATATTTTTTGATCTCTTCATGAAGAACGAGATGATTAAAGGAAGTCAGATAGCAAAATATTTTAATAACAAGGTTATATACTAAAAAAATGGGAGAACTAATCACATGACCACATAAAAGCGATCATGCCGTTGAGAGGATTAAGAGAAGCATTGTGCAAGTGTACTTATTATTCTATACTTTTAGTAAAATTTGAATTAGCAAATATTTCTGCTAAGTATTTCAAATTCAAATGTAATATTTATCCATGCATTAATATATTAATAAGTGTAAGATTTTACTTACAAAGAGCTTTGTGTCTTTATCCAAATACCTCTGCGCATACAAACCAAAAAGAGAGAGACCGAAGTAATCTACTGTCATTTGTAAACAGTACTGCCAATGGGGAATCTTGGAAGAGATGCTCTGCATTTTGTCGTAGATGCTTGATAAGCTGTAACTGACGTGTTTAGCTACGAAGATCACGGAACGGTAAAATATGTAATTTGCAAGTACTCGCTTTCTGCTCAATGAAAAAAAGGAAATAAATGTTAGAAAGATGAATATAATAATTCTCACTTTTTTCCCTTCCTTATTTCAATAAATAAAATTATTAATAATAGTGCGTAATCTAAGCAAAATTTACAGCTAAGTTAGTGTTAATTTTAGTGAAATGTTTTAAGAATTTTGAAGTATTGTAACTCACATGGGTCTTTCTTCTTTGTAGCGTCTTGGAGAAAAACAAAAAGGCGAAACAATGTTGCTAAAACCTTTTGAGAAAAGTAGCAATAGAAGAATGAAAAAGTCGTAAAAAGTGGCATGCGATAATCAGAGATCACGTGATTTTTTTGTGGTGGTCATAGGGATACGAGTTATCGACTGTAATTTGATTCTTGCTCGCTTTATATGTGTACTAGTTTTGACGAAAACATTAAAATCATTATAATTCTTTGGAGTTAGTGTATTATTTTTTAAACCTGTTTTTTTAAACATTTACATAGTTTGTAATATGCAGAATTTCCAGTTGTCAATATTTATTCAAATAAATAATTATTTTTTATTATAAATTAATTTCAATAGACATAAAAACATTCAAATTAATTAAATATTAACATACATTATATTAACATACGTACTTTATGATGCATTAACACTTTCTTTAAGGCAGCAAAAAATAACACAAGGAAACGATGAAGTCGCAAAGGAGCATAGACATAAATTTCAGTAGCAAATTTGAAGAAAAAAAAAACACCCGCAATATTTGGCAACGTTGTTCCAAAGCACAGAATGAGGATTTTCAGAGGGAAATTGACCTTTAGTTCATTTTCATGGATAACGATAGTCCATGCAAGGATTAATCTGATGAATTATTTTCTTGACAGTGAAGATATTACGCAAACAGATTTGGCAACCAGATTTCCGGACCTAAACCCTTTAGAAATATGTTTGAGAAGACACTATCAACTTAGCCTCTCACCTCTCCGAACCTTCCTACAGTGTAGTTTATACAGTGTAGCTGCAGGTGTGGAATCAGCTGCCACAGGAAATTATTAATTATTTCATATCCACAATGAAGTCATGTTGTGAGAGATGTATGACTGTATGAAAAGCCCAGACTTATTGTTAGGAAATGCCCACCTCCCGTAAGATAGCTTCCCCGTAAAGTGGGGGTTAGAATTGCCAGAAAGTGACAGGGAAAGGCAGGGTTGCAGATTTGGTGCGAAATCGCCCATTTGGCGACCAAATCGGTGATATACCATAGACAGGGCGAGAACATTCTAGAATACATTCTTAGCGGTTTTTCCCGAGAATATTCTTTAAGGCAGGTTAAAGGTATTTATACCTTGTCTATACGTGTGTGGTTAGTAATTTAGCACTTAAGTTAGAGTGAATTGAGATTAGCTTGAGGGCGATCGAGTCGGGAGCTGTACTTTAGTGATTTGCCGTTAAGCTGTCTTCACCGTTCTAGACTGAAGGCTCTATTGCTGAATGTTTCAGCTTTTTCGTCGTAGTTTTTTGGGCGAGTGTAAATGTGTTTTTTGGAACTGTGCTGTGTAATAGTGCTTACTAGCAATTAAAGTATGCTTTGATTCTTCGTCAAGTGTTTTCATCAATTAATCCAAATCCACGGACCCAGAGAATTGCAACGCTATTAATTTTCTTTTTTGTTCCATCTTATAATTGTTTCAGGCCTTCCTGTGCTAATGAGACTTGTGCGCGAACATGTATATGTACTATGCTGCCATATGCTGTACTGTTTTTAGTATTATAAATCTATATCAATACCCCATTTTATCCAAATCTGCCTTCATATTTGGGCATAAACGACCAAAATTCATTTTATTTTCAAAAGGAATATCTAAGATTGAGCAATTCTACGCAGGATGTTCCCAAAAGGGTGCAACCAATTTTTAGCGATCATAAACGCTTAATATAAACGATATGAATGTGCAACTCGATTTAATTCAAATGAATTCAGCATTTGAGTCTCGTCTTGATTTATAATTAAAATAATTCAGAACTAACGCTCTTCTCAGATGTTACAAATGAAAGCTAACTTATCAACAATCAACAGAGCACTCCACCAGGTTGCATCACAATGACAACGCATTGCAGTTGGGCAGAATTCTGTCTAACTTTAGATCTAGATCATGATTTAAAGTTACTTATTTCGCATTTCTAGTAGACAGGATGAAAACGAAGAAATGAGAGAAATCTTCAGCAGAAGAAATAACGTGTTGATCGAAATGTACTTTACAATGCTATGAAGGCACGCAACAGAAAACTGATGTAAATTTCTGTTGAATTCCCTCGTGGCTGCACTGTTAGAAATCAGATGAGAGTGCATTAAAATTTTAAAAAACTAAAGGAAAAATTATAAAATTTGACTAAAAAGTATACGTAAAAAATAACATGTAAATTAAAAAATTATTCAAAATAAAATGGTATTTTCTCAATAAAAAATGTGCAAATACAAGCCTATCATTTTATTTCTTTGTGGTACTTATAGTTGCAGACCTTGATATTAAAGCTTACGTTTTCCTTTACATTTTCTTAGTTTTACACTTACAGAGGGAGAACGGAAAATGTGCACTCTTTATTTTCTCATATATTTATCCTAAATTTTCTCACATAGAGAATTTTATCAGAGTTCACCAGTGGGAAGGGAAAAAAAATCTAGCTATTTACATTTGTGTGAAAAATTAAGAGAATTTGCACATAATGTCGAATATCTGGAAAACCAATCAACAGATTTTAATGAGATATGTTATGAACATACACAAATAACAGAGAAAGGGATGTACCATTCAAAAGTCAGACAGACAGGTCACACAGCGTGACGTCATACTGCAGAGGAGGCAGTTGAGGAGTACCTATGGTAGTCGATCCCAATGCTAGAGCAAGGCAGTTTTCAATTTCGTGGTGGTTCTCACAGGGGGATGACCAGATAAAAGTGCTCTCCCAAGAGCGTCTCAGATATATTTTATATGATTAAGATCAGGAAATCTGACTGGCCAATCCATATGGGGAATATCGTCACTTTACAGGTATCTTCGACCAGTTGAGCTCTTTGCTGACGACGACTGTCGTCCATTAACAATAACCTAACACAAATTTGGCTCTAACGTCTCCTATCTATACCTCATAGTAGTTAGGGTGCCTTTGTGAAACATATGAAGAAGCGTGCCTGTCCAAACCATTACACCTCCATCACAGTAATGATTTTTTTTCCCTGACGAGAGAGGGATGTTATCGTATTCCGAGATCTCCCCAGGTACAGGTAAGTCTAGAATCTGTGTCCAGGCTAAATCTTGACTCATCTGTAAAAAGCACTGGGCTGCAATAAAAATAAAGATAAATCCTTTTTATTTTTATCTATAGCAAGTCTTGTCCAAGGCGCATGTTGTCTGCATCATGTTAAACGCGCTTTCTTGTATCTTGCAGTAAGCGGGACGCAAAAAGCGGATCTTCTGGCATACAGCCCCATCTCCTGAACCCTTCGGGTAATTGTAGATCGTCAAACTCGGGTTCCAGTGGCAGCATACATCTCAAGTGAGAGCTGCGAAGCTGTAGTAGTTTTGTGTCACCGCTCTGAAATGGCCTCATTCGTCGTTATGGATCTTGGTCGACTTTGTCCAGATCTTCCCGAAATGGATCCAGTGTCCTGAAACTGTTTCCACAAATTGCAGACGACACTGTACGTTACATTGAGCTCTGTAGCCATCTGTGCTTGTAATTGGGCTACCTCCAATCTATCTAATTCTGTCATCCATACGTTTCTGGCTACTCATCTTATCTGATACCTTTTAAAATTTACCTAACTTTTGCGAGAAACATCGCAAATGTCATGAAGGAGTACGAACGTACAAATCGCCCGAAACCTCTCGTGCGCTTATATCCCATCCTGAATCACAGCTCTGACGACACGCACGTATACGCTTACGTACTTGACTCGACTGCATAATTAGTACCTTTAATTCAATACATAGAATTCAGGTTTCAAGTCTAACACTTCAATTTTCAAATAAAGTATAATAACAATTCCCTTCTTCTCTCGAAATTTCAATTTTAACTCATCACATCTACTAGGATACATAAAAAGGATTTATCTTTATTTTTATCTATAGTAAAATCAAAAAACGAAATACCCTTTTTAATTTGAGCTTCGACAAGATCTGAATTTATAGATTCTAAATATGATTTTAGCAAACTCCTTCTATTAAAAATTCCGAATTTTCATTCAATAATCCATGTTTTGTAAATTTCTCAAAATTAATACTAGTTCAATTTTACTAGGAATAAGTGTAATAACTCCAAGCGAACTAATGGTATATAAAGGACAGAAATTATCTGAACAAATATTATCGTTAATAATATGAAAAACATAAATTTTTGTTGCAGCATCGGGATCTTATTGGACTTCCAACGTTTTTTTATTCTTCTCTCTTTTGCATTTTTAATAACTATAATTTGTAAATATTTATCTTCTAATTTCTTTTTACATTCTAATATATTTTCATTTATTCGAATGTCATCAGAATTTTCTTCTTTAATTGTTCCTTCTGTGACTGTAATACGCCTTTCATTTTGAGTAAAATTTCTCAAGCTAATATCTAATTTTATAATTTTTTCTACTAATATATTTTTCAATTCAAAATAATTACGTTCTATGTAATTTAATGAAAATTCTTTATTAGTAGCTTCATGATTATCTACAAGATTAATTTTTCTTTAATTTTATTCTCTATATCATAATTTCCACTGTAGGAATTATTTTTAATTTTGAAACCCTTTCCTTTATTCTCTTGTTTCCCACTTACAACTTTCTTCCAGAATGAGTTTCAGGATCGCGTTTTATGCAGATGAGGTAAAACCAGTATTTAATGGGAAGTTCAGTCACTTCTGTAGATGAGATCAGAAGTTCTCATTAGATAGGGTTCTGCCTTCTGGACATGTGGTCGCTTTAAGCCTATCTCACTGCGTTCGGCCGAAGTCTTACATGCCTGTTAGTATTCACCGGTGACGCTTAAATAAGGGCGAACTCGGTTAGTTATATCTGTACAGCTTCAACTGAGTTTTAGTTAGTTAGAATTAAGTTTCTTATTTTCTAAATTAAGTAACAGCTCAAGTGGAGGCTTTCCTGTAAACCCGAGAGGGACCATCTGTGATTATTATTGGAGTTAATATAGGAGTATTTTAGCCGCTCTTTGGACTTTGTTTCTGTCGCTGTAAGAAGAGTAGCGAATAGTCGCTATATATTCCAGTTCTAGTTGACAAGGGCATGCAATTTAACTAGAAAACCCTGTACCATCATCCGTTAATTTAAAACCAGTACCGGCAGAACCTACAGATACTGGATAATAAGCAGCCACTCGCTATAAGTCAAAAATGATTTTACTATAAGTAAATTCTCTTTTATATAAATGAACGACACAGAAGAGGAAAGAAAATTAAGGATGAAAAAAAAAAAATGCAACTCATTTCCTCCATCGACGTTTGAATCTTCAAGAGCTGAAAAAGAATTTGCGGATAGTTTTGAAAATTCATTTCAAGAAAAGATTACAAATGCAATACAAACTATGAAAAAGCTCATTCATTTGACTTTGATAAAACTTTAGATAAACATCTCTTTAAAAGTCAAAACGTTTCGTAAAAATAAATATAATTTGCAAATCGTATTAATTTTTCACATAGGTGTATATGACGTAGACAGCGCAAAATGTCCAACTAATAAAATGCCCGTTACTCTTCATTAGCGGTTAATTTTATTGCTGTATTTGGAAATTTTGTGGAGATGTTGAATGTCAAGGACCAGACCACTTTACGACTCCTAAACATGTAATGCATTTTGACAGGTTTAGAGCAAAACTGTGAAATAAAATTTGCTCATTTAAGATTGATGGTTTAGATGCTGCATAAAATAAGTACTTATTAACCCTGTACTTGACCCATACAATTATTAGTTTACTACTAGGTATAATTATTAGATAGAGGTAAAAATAGCCATAATAATAATCGTCGTAAACATAATTATTTATAAAACGTCGATCTTTGGATGTAGCTCTCGAAATCACTGCTGTCAAATGTCAAATATCTTTTCTTTCTTTCTCTCTTTCTTCCTTCCTTTTTTAATAGAAAAGTCTATAACTAGACAAGTGGATTAAGTGTTTTTCCTTATATTCGACCCAATCGTGTTGTTCTAATTTAAGGATATATTTTACGTCATTTCTTAATTTTATATAAACAATCCTACAATGTCTACAAGAGTTTTTTTAATGATTTTAGAAAAACAATTTCGAGTAAAAAGTGGCATTCATTTCAGATTTGAGTAACCTTGTAAGCTTTTTTAGTTTATAAAAAATTATAAATTTTTTCATATTATCTCAGACGACGCAAAAGAATTTGTCATTTTATCTAAAATTATATACTACTGTAACCATAACTATGAGTAAGATAAATAGGATCTCTGAGATAACTATGAGTAAGATCATAAATAAATAATGAACATTAAAGCTACATTTCATGAGCAATAAAATTCTCGCTAAAAATAAAAATGAAACGTTTTACCCTTTTTCATCATTTAATTCGCCTAAAATTGTATTCAAAGTAAGTACAGCCTCCGGTTTAGCGACCATTATCCGTTCATTTTTTGTTATATTTGCATCAGGCGGTAGCAGTTTCCTTAAAAGTTTTAGCCATGGTATCTAATAAAAAAGGAATTATAAACCCATTTTAGAAGCTTAATACATACACATAGAGGAAGCTGATAGTTGAAAAATAAACTTTTTATAAAAATACCGAACGAATAAATAAAAGTACCGTTGAATGCTTCATGGTCGAATTTTAATCTTCAAATCGAATTGAATAAAAGAAATATGGAACTTATAGGTTTAACCGCGCCGGCCCCCATGCATCATTCGGAACGATTTATTGACGAAATAGGGTAGATGGAGAATGAATCATGCAGTAGGGATTTTCCCGTTCTTATTTTTTCACTCTGTTTATTTTCACTGTGCTCGATGGGCACATATTTAAGAAGGCAGAAAATTACTTTTAAGTAATCTAGCATAATATGCTGATTATCATTTGTAATTAACTGTTTGATTATATAGTAGTTAATTTTTTGGCATTTATATATTTATTTACATATTTTTAAAATATAGTTTTTAAGATGAAGTATAATAAATAACTATTACTCAGAATTATTATTATATTTTAGTGTAAATATTTTATATTATTATTTATTGTAACATTATATTTAGTGTAACATTAATTTTAGTGTATTTAATTATTATATTTTAGGTATAATTTTCATTACAATAATTTTAGGAAATGAATAATTATTATAATAATACTATAATAATAAGTTATTGACACCTTTCTTAATATTTGTATAAAATATGTGTACATTAATGTACACTGAAAAAAAAAGAAATTTCTTAATAATTAGATAATTATTAAATAACTATAATAATTAGTACATTATAATAATACAGATACTAAAATTATTATTATAGTTACTTAATTATAATTATTGTATTATAATAAATAATTATTATATTCCTTTTTAATTTTTTCGGCTAAAATCTATCTGCATTATTATAAATAACTGACGTAGGGGAGAAGGCAAATTTATTTTGGAAAAAAAGAACGAAAATAATTCTTACACAAAAGATCACAATGTTGGTAAGTGTCAATGAAAGTGTCGTGTATTTTAACGATAAATTTGTCCTTCCAGACAGTATCAAAGGCCTTAGATAAGTCCAGTAAGGCCGCCACGGTACGTCGAGTTGGTTTAAAGTTTTCGGCGTCCCCGATCTTTTGGCAAAGAGTTTGATATACTTAATGTAACATGAAAACACGAGAGAGAGAGGCTATGCCGAAAAAGTAAGAATACAGGGACAAATATTTTTAGCATTAAATAAATGGATATTTCGGAAATTTGGCGAGATATCGCCAAGATAGCCACGGTTTTGGCGACTACTTTGGTCGCCAAATTTTGCATGAAATCTCCAAAAGTCGCAAAACAGAGATTATTTGGTAAGATTTTGGTCCGGTTCTTGTATCATTATAATAAGTATTGTAATTGAATAAATGTAATTGATCACTGTATCAGCTGTAACCGTAATATTTCCTTCTAGTAATTTTAAGAAGTACTAGAAATATCTCGGTGACCGGGTGAAACTATATAAAGCCGGTGAGAATATCTGCTCTCAGCTGTTGTTGTTATCTGTTAGTTTAGCGTAAGTTCCGATTATAGCTTCGCTCTTTGGCTGCGCTCTGCATTCCTTTGTCTTTAACGTTCATAGTAGTTTGAAGTGCAGCTACTGATTGTGCTCTGTGATATTTTGAAAATTTGTACGACTATTTTTGTGGAATGTTCCAGATCTCTGAAGTGTTTTATATTGAAAAAATAAATTTTATCAACCTAACATCGGAGCTGTGTGCATTCAATCTATTGCGAACCCGTACTCACGCAACATTATTGAATTGCTGATGAACATTAAATGGAAATTTTAGATATGAATTTAATTGCCTTTTTTGTTTAATTTCTGAGCTCCTAAAGATAAATTTAAAAGCTTTTGAAAATAGTTTATCATATGTAAAGAACTAACTTTTATCCACGGCTTCGCTCTCGTTCATGTCCTTAACCTTCCAGCACGCGCGTATGCGCAAAATTTACAACAAATTTAGTTTTTAACGCACATTTTTCGTATATCGAAGCTGAGACGTCTGAATGCCATTTCTGTTCCTCCTTTCTACCCTTCCGCACATCATGGAATGTGCCAACAGGAAATCATTGGACTTTTTTTTACTGGGCATTTGTGCTACGGGGCAGCTTTTTCGTAAAAGTTACGACACGCGCGTGTTCGTGGGTGAAAACTCGGAAAATATTTTTTTTCTCAAATATTTTGTAGTTTGGTTTTATTAATGAAATACATTCTTCTGACCTCATAGCTCACGGGACTTATGTATACCTTTTGTAAACAAACAATGCAGATGACCTCAAAGATCATGTGACTTATGTAAAGCTAATGCAAACAAGCAAGGTCATTCTTCCTCTTTTTCTCTTGCGAAATGTATCTCATTGCCGTATATTATTTTAATTTGAATACATTTGGCTCTGTAAATTTTATATCAGTTTTTCATGGCAAAAACATATGTGCAACCAGCTGATTTTGCTCGCATTCTTTAAGAATTATCTGATGAAGAAAAGGAAGACAAGGAAACCTTTGGATGGGAGCACATCCAAAGGTTTCCTTGTCTTCCTTTTTTTCCTACCAAGCTGTTTTCCTTTTTTATATGTCTATACTTGCCTTTGATGAATATTAAAAATTAGCTTCGATTTTAAAATATAATTATTAAATTAAAAAGTTTCTATAATGAAATACATCATTGCATTTCCATTTCACTAACTTAAGAACTTAAAAATAATTTACTTATTTGAATGTGATATCATTTGTATTATGCAATAATAAGATTAATATTTGATTTCTTAATAAATTTATTATCAACTTTCACTCATTTCTGTCGTTTTTCGTGCCGAAAACGGTAAAATAACGGATGTCGTAAAAAATACAACGCGCGCGCGCTCATGTAAAGTTGCCAAGCGCGCGTGCTGGAAGGTTAAATAAATTTCAAAGACTATTGAAACGAAAATAAAATAATTTGATTTTTTTTTCTTATGGTCTGACCAGGATAATCAGGATAAAGTTTTAGTTACTGTTACTTATTTTTTAAGTTAAAAATATACTCCACGTAAAATTTCAGTAAATACTGCTCTTCTTCATTGAGATAAAAAGAAACCCATATTGATGTCGCTAAGACGTTATTCTGCATAATTTTTAAAATCCGATTTGGATATATCAAACATTGCAATCTTATGTTTTTTTTTTTGTTGTTGTTGTTTTGTTTTACTAAAAAAATTCTAAAATAAAATATAATTTTAAAACTGAAAAACATGCTTTATTAAGATATCTCACTACAAAAAATAAATAATTTTCATTACTAAGATTTCAGAAAGTTTAAAGTATTAACAAAACGTTAAAAATATTTTTTTTTTTTTTTCAGAAGAGCACGAATAAGAGCAGTGGCACCGAATAAGAGCAGTCGATAAATAGTGGCATCGATTACATTCTGCCCTAATTGTGTGATCCGAGACCTCGTTCCATTATACAGTCAAGGTGCATCTATATTTAGAATAAGCCTTTAGTTTCAATTGGAGTTTATGTAAGGGTACATCTGATATCTCTAGTAAGGAAATAAACAAAAAGAGATATCTTACTTCTAAAATTAAAACAGATGTTGGTTAGGATCGTAGTAAGAAAAGGTACTTAAAATTGTACAACTTATACAAACAAATTGTCTTACAAACGAAAAATAATTATTCGAAAATAAAAACAATAACAGTATTTCACAGAAAAAATGCAATTTCAAATAATCATAACACCGTTCTTTCTTCAGTTGTAACACTATAAATATTTCTCTATGGGAAGATCTACTCTATAAACATCATTTTCTCGAGGTTTCTGGAAAGCAAAAGAGCACAATTACGAGATATCTATTTATTAAATGCGCGTGCTCTTCTATTTTAACTGTTCCGGCGTAGCTTTCTCTTCAAATAAGTCTCGTGCTTCATTGCAGGGGGATATAAAACCATCTAACTACAGTTTTACTAAAAATAGGAAACTAAATACAAAAACGTATAAATATTATAAATATTCGTAAATCTTTTTAGTATTTATTATTCATATTCTGTAATTTATTAAGCATTAACTTCATACTTCTGGTGCAAAGTCCTCCAGCTCTTTGATGGTCCTGATGTTGTAATATATATCCGGGTTCCCTTTTTTCATGGTTTCTATAGACACCTATAAAAGGTTAAACAATAGTAATATGAATAGTAATTTCATGTTAATCAAGAAATAATTTTTGGATCAATACTAAGCAACAGCAAAATATTAAATAGTAAATTACGAAATTTCTAAACAAAGTTATTAGACATTTTTCTTCTTTCTTTCTAAACAAAGTTATTAGCACTTTTATTTACACTTGGATTTCAAATCCATTCGATCCCTTTCATAGAAGTTCCCTTCAAAAGCCACGACGTTTTTCCGACAATTACTAGCAGTGTCGGAAATTGAGATAGCCTTCCACAAGTCATTTTAATGTTTCTATGTTTCAAAAATGGTGTCCCTTTAAGGGGAGTTAGAATCTGGGAACACAGATAAGTCACGAACACTGAGGGTAGGACAGGAGAAAAGTGTAAGGGGCACCATTACGTCGCCATAGGGCAGAAGTGGTATTGCCCCTGTACACTAACTATCCAGAGGAACCCCGCGTCGGCATTTATTGAAAAATCAAAAAATGGTGCAGACATTCATTATACATACATTGATTACACATAAATTTGACATGTAACATTTGAAATTTAACATTTACCATACATTTTATATATTATGCATTGTAACTTTATGAGTTTTTAGGCGATTGACAGAGTTTTTAAGGTACACAGTTTATTTGGTTCATTGGGTTTGTAAGGATATTCGAATCGTATATTAAGTTCATTGAGTTTATATAGTTCATAGAATCATTACGTTTAGAGTTCATAGAGTTCATTGAGTTCGTAAGAGAAATAGTTCTTAGTTATACATACAGTACATATATTTATAGGAAATGTCGTTTGCACAGTTCACGTGGAGCTTATATAGTTTATAAGGTGCACAGTTCTTATGATCTATTGAGTACACCGTTGGTATGGTTTGATGAGTTTACAGGGTGGATCACTCATGGTTCGATTCTGTAGTAAGCATGGTGTATTGATCGCAGTTTGCGAGGTGCACGCAGTACACCTGAGTCACTATTAGTTGTTGTCTCTTGTATACTGGGCTTATTGTTACATATATTATGCTTTTGCGGTTATTGCTTATATAGCATATATGGGAGCAACCCGTTCCTTTCGGCTTGGAGCACTAGGCTTCACGGAGAACTGAGAGCACTGACTTTTTCGGAGCACTACTGAGTTTCTTTGGAGCGCTGAATTTTACGGGTGGTAAAGGTCGAGCCCATGCCGACGGAGCACGTCGATGATAGCTTTTATCTTGTTATACACTCTAGTGTGATGTATGAGGAAGTGTTTGAAGGAGATCTGTACATCTGCTGGGTGCCTGATGTGGTGGTCTACGGTCAATGGACACTGGAATAAGAAGTGATCTACATTTCCTTCTTGCCCGCAGGCACATTGGCTCGTGTTGGCAAGATTTCTTGCGTTAAAGTATGTCGGATATGGCTCATGGCCTGTGATGTACTGTGATAGAAAGTAATGTGTGATCATGCGGGAGGTATCAATTTTTGGTAATAGAGTGTATGTTTGACGACCTTGCAAGCTTGCCACTTCTTTTCTGCTAAATATTTTAGGGATATTTTTAATGCTGATCTTGGCCATGGTGTCTGGATTGGTGTGGCGATTTGTTCAAGAGCAGCTTGTTTGGCCAATTCGTCTGCTCGTTCATTACCCGCGCAGTTAGCATGCTCTCTGGTCCATGATATGATGTGCTGGCTGGTACTGGAGGTTATGGCGTTTTGGATTAGTCGGTATATTGGTGAATTTGTATGAGGATCCTTGATTGCAAATATTGATGACTGGCTATCTGTTATGATGTGCACTGGATCTGCTTGAATTTGATGAAGGATGTGAAGTCTGTGTAGTATGCCATTAGTTTTGCCTGGAACACGCTGATCTGTTCCTGTAGATGACCTTGCCATTCTGTAGCTATGTTGGCGAGATGAAGAATAGAAGCTGCACATCCTACTTTATTTTGTATCTTGGATCCATCTGTATATGCTCTATAGTCGGTATTGGGAGGTGGTGAGATGAGATTCCTCTTGAGATTTATTAGGCTGTTTGCTGGATGTTGTTGGTATCTTTTAGGTTTTACTTCATATTGATCCGGGTAGAATGTTGTATTCTGATAAGTGGCTGGTTTCTTGAGCTGTTGTATGGTAGTTGAGAGAGCTTCAATTTCTACAAGTATTGGTAGTGGTAGTTCTCCGGCTGGTATTTGAAGTGCGTTATTTGAAGTAGTGTAGAATGCGCGGGTAATGTTTAATAGAAAAAGACGTTGAATGGCGTTTAAGGTTCTAATCTTTCTTTGGGACGTGAGGAATGCTCATAGGGCGGCTCCATACTTTATGATTTTATTCCCCACTGTGTTTAAGAGAATCTTTATTATTCGATGTAGGCCCATGAGTAGCCTCTCATGGATCAGAGAGCTTGTGCAATTTTCATAGTGATAATTTTCTTGTTCTGAACACTAAGGGCAGCCGAATCAGGGAATAGTTACTTTGAAACTTTGAAGTTAACGAGATTTTGGTGGAATCGCGACAATTCCAGGAAACAAAGGTTGCCGTTAAAACTGACGTTCACTTTTTCGGTGCTGTCTTTTTGTTTTACTTAGAAGTAGGTACATTGGGATGTCCACTCTCTCTTTCACGTCCATATCAGAACGTAAATCATCTGAACTAATGCTTCCAAAGGAGCTTACACTTGTATTTCTGGGTGGTGCTGAAATTGCCTTTTTCTCATTTTTATTTTTCTGCTGGATGACTTAAGCTTCTTTATTATTAGGTATTTTAGGTATTACCATAATATTCTGCTCTGGCTGTTTATTTTGTGCACATATTCTTTTTGTGCCTATCGATTTGACAGATTTTACTGAACTCGCGTATGATAACTTTTCGTAAGGCTGTGACTCAATTACCATTCGTCTCGTACCTCTGGCTGTAAAATCGTTTACTTTACTTTGAAAGTTCATTTTCAGATTTCCAGTTTGGGCAAGTTAATTAACTGACCTTCTTCTCGCATTCGAGAATAATTTAACGATTTGTACGCTGATACACTTACATCGACTTACCAGGCTTTTTTAACCGACGGAGAAGAAGTTCCCACATGAAGATCACCGGAACGCAGTTGTTTAACTCCCGTTAGCTCATCCCCATGTTGCCGACTCTTAAAGTCGGTAGAACAACCGATTCACTCTCATGAGGACAACGAAGTGCCGCCTGTTAGCTGAAGCAGAAGCCAAAGCAGTGTATTAGGGACAATATTACGCCCCTCAACTACTAGGACCTTCCTTTCGAACGACACGCATATCCACGTACGCCATTTAAAGCTAAAACAATGATTGTAATAGTACCTCATGACGAGCCTCAACCTGTGGAGAGGGAAACCAGAAAGGAGAAAGTTATAGCTAAGAGGAGGGGAAACGGAAATGAGGAAAAATCAATAGGACTCCAGGATCGTGCCCCCGTCTCATCAAAAGAGTGATCCCTTGAAGGACTAAGGTACTTCGGGAACGCTACAACCGTATCACAAAGAGTGAGCCCCTAAGGCATTTTGCTGCCGAGAAAGCTACTCTACACCGCGTCTGAAAAAGTCCTTACTAGGCCTTTATTTTCGCAATAGTTGGGCGTAGACATGCACTTGTTATTATGAAAATGTTTTCAATGACGCAAAAATTCTTGTTTGGGTATCATTAAATTGAAACAAATCAATTTAACAAAATATTACGAAATCTAATACTTTTCATTCTTCCAGTCCCTATATTTATATTTATGAAAATTTTGTTTTCGCTACAAAAAAATTAAAATACAAAAGTTTTATCCCTGCAGGACAAAAATTGACCTAGATATTTAATTTACTATATTTGACGTCATTTTTCATTGGCATTGAGGGATCCGCTGTAGAGTCATTAGGGTTTTTGAATTAGGAACTGTGAAAAATGAGTAATGCCCTCTCCGGGACTCGAACCTGGACTTCTCGAATACGTGCCGTGTGTGCTGCAGTGACACCAGCAAGACATGCACAAAGGAGGGAGAAAATACCTTATATATTTCGCTTTTTAAAGGGTGACTAGGGATTAGGGAACCCAATCGCCAAATGCTGGTGGTGAAAAATCATCATCCACCACCTTATAGTTCGGGAGCTTGTGTAGAGTCATTAGGATTTTTGAAATAGGAAACAGGAAAAATGAGCAGTGCCCACGCAGGAACTCGAACCCGGAGCTCTCGACTACGCGTCGAATGTCAGAAAGGAGAGAGAAAATACGTTATACGGTTAACAAATAAATTAGAATAAATTCGAGGTTGATTTTATTCCTTTAAATGCTATTGAATGATATTCTCTAATAATATACATTTGTCTTACAATTTTGTTACATTTGATATGCCGAAAAAATTTTCACACCAGTAATTTATGGATTCTCGAAGACTAAATATACATAATTAATATTCTCATGAAGTTTTATTATAATTATTATAATCAGAATCTGATAATATATAAACTTCATTATACTACAAATATATTTCGTTCTTACTTACTTCGAATATTACAAATTGGCTATGTGTTATTTGTAGGGACTTATATTTATTTTAACTAATAATTTAAAGTTTTATTTGAAAACTTTCCTATAAGCCTTCATTCTCCTAATTGTCAGTGCCAGAATAGTTAAATGTTGTAGCGCGTGAACGAATGCAAATTTTCTATTTTGAAGGAATTAGTTAAAAGCCGAGTTTCGGTAGGTGAAAGAGAGAGTTAGGCTCTAGCTGCCGTCTTTGCCGTAGATACGTTTGCTTATTGCCGGTTCAAGCGGCTTAATTGCGTTGCTTTGCTGCCACTAGCTTAGAAGGGGATTGAAGTTACAGGATCTCGCTGATATGCTAGGCTAGTTTTATCACTTGTTAATATTTCAACTTTTAGTTTCAATTATCTGACTTTCAGTTAACGCCCAAGTAGAGGCGAAGTTTGTTAGCGTCGAGTTGAAGCATTGTAAATTTTAAAAAGTTAATAAAGGGTACGTGAACCCTTCTCCTGTGTAGTTTCCAGCTACTCCAGTATACAGACAGAAGTTCCTTCACTGGACTTTACATAGTACTGAAGCCTACCAATATTTTCTAAAACGCCAATTCTATAAAGTCTGTAAGCAAAATCTCCGCTTAAAAATTACATTGATTTGTACTTGTCTCGAGGATCTGAATAGAGATGCTCGTCATTTAATGGCTTAACAGAAATCTTTTTAACTGATATTTTATTTTTAGTTACGTGCAAATGCAAACATTTCTTTCTTCAGTTTGTGTTTGACCCCTGAATGGGACGTGCTAGTTTAATATCAAATATCTAAATGAACTTTTATAGTATGAGAGTCAAAATTTTTGTGTTTTATTTTTCTTATGAAAAGTACAAAATTTTCCTACATGTAGGTATAGGAGGCGGATGAATGTATAAAAAGGTTTTCGTAATTTTTATAAAAGTGATTTATTTAAATTTTAAAATGCCAAAACTTGAATTTTTGCGCGATTTAAAATATTTTTGTAGTTGGAAGTGTACGTGTCCACAAACGGTTGCGAAAATAAAAGCGGGGAAGTGATTTTGTGGACACAGTGTATATCTGGCTGTGTCCATAGTCTTTCCAGTAATATAGTGCTGTACTCATTTATCTTATAGTTATGCTTTTATTCTATATCATTTCTCCTTTTTGGTATTGCTAATGAAGGAAAATGTTAAAAAAAATCCGTTGCTGCAATTGATCAATTAATGTTTTGAGTGTTTTCACTTAATGCAATTAAAGTAGGAATAATAAATATGCACACAAGAAAAAATGTAAAAATAATTAGCAGCTAACTCTAATTCGTTTCTCATACCCTTTAGCAAAGTTATCTTGTTAAATTTTATAATTTTCACTGGTATAAACTCACATTTGCGAGACGTCTTTCAATTTGGTAAGCGGCTTTAATTTCTTCCTCTGCTATTGTTTCATTCAGATCTGGAGCCAAAGATTTAGCTATATGGATGATGCCATCTTGGTACGTAGTGAGTAGTTCATCCATCGTGAAATAAGATAGATCTGTTCCGAGGGTTGGCGGATAAATCTAAAAGATAAAACAAATTATTTAAAAAAAAATTCCTTACCGAGGGAAAATCTTTGAGTTTAAACAAAAAAAAGTGTTTCGGTTTCGACATATAAACAGCTCTGATTGTGAAATTGTCTGAACTAACACTTTGCTGTTTCAACCTCCTCCGCTTTGTTTCAGTATTGTATAAGCTGGAATAAAAATTTACTTTGGCGTAAGAATAATCAAAGGTATTGAACTGCAAAGAGCTCCCAACTGAAAACCTGTGTCAAACTAGCTAAAATTTGAAATATATCTTTCTCAGATAAATATTTCACGAAATAATATGGTCATTTAGCCATACATTCTGAACAAATTCAGGAAATAAAGAAGAGCAGCAAGTGACAAAAGCAAATTATGAGTAGTGTAAAAAACAAAATACATAAATAATCTCTTAAGAACATATTACTCCAAATTAAATTCCTTCAGATTAAAAGAAATCAAGGGAAATCTGTGCTCTTTTCAGATTCATATTTTAATCTTTGGGTTTTGATTAAAATGCGGTTCTGAAAAAAGCCCAGTTTTGTTTATTATATTGATTTAACTATGACTTTCAGAACCATATTTAAATCATTGCATCATACTTCAACAATAAAAGTTTGTTCAAGTATGTTAAAAAAATTAACATTGCTTTTAAACGAGCGATTTTCTGCTTTATTTTTCATGATTTTTTAAGACTATTAGTAATTTTTGGAGTGAAGCCTTCATGTCCAAACATTCTTTCGGCAGTCATAAGCTCAGTTGTATCACCTCAGTAAATAATGTTATTATTTTGTATAGATATTTAGAAATTTTTGGCCATAGGAAAGGTGAAGATTAAGCAATGCTGCCGCCGATATCAGGACCTTTTGATGCGCTAGCGAACGTGCCGCTAATTACCCACACCCAGTCACTAAGTCTAGTTGGAGATGACATATTGTAAGCCACATTTTAGTTCGAGCGCTACTTCTAGGGACTTTTAGAATTTTTGAAAAAGAAATGCCCTACCGAACTTCTAGGTGTTTTTCAATGTCTGTCACATTCAAACTGTAACGAAGTGTGTCACATCTTTTATGTCAGGTGCACCAATCTTAAACTGCAAATAGCAGATCATAAATCTAAAATCCTCTTGATCCCTAAGAAAGGCGGATCACTTGCAAGACGCCCTACGATCAAACTAAATGGGCAGAGAATTAAAATTGTTAATACCTTGAAATATTTGGGTGTCACTTTTGATACTAAAATGACGTGGATCCCCCACATTCAAGATCTCAAGCTAAGAACCAGTGCTATAGTTAAGCAAATGCGCCAGTTTTATGGTTATAAGTGGGGGCTGAATCCACACATACAAAAAGTGTTATATGTACGACAGTAGTGGAAAAGATAGCTACATACGCAGCAGCAGTTTGGTGCACACCCAATGCAGTTTTGGCAGGAAGATTGCAGGGCATCTTTATACCATTACAACGGCCTTTTTACCATACAATTGGCCTTTCGCATTGGGCAGGGCCTACCGTACAAAGGCCTTCCGTACAACCTCATCGGATGCTCTTAATGTATTAGCTGGTCTACTCCCACTACACATACGAGTTGAAGAAGAGGCGACCAAACAGATTATACTGGCAACTCTAAAAGCCAACTGTGTTATGACGAGGAATACTTCCATCCGGAAGAATATGAAGTCATTGATCGACCACTGCATGTCCACCCAGCGAGCAAAGGCACTGGCGTCAAAGTCACCATCAACCCGTTCTACGACTAATTCCCCCAACACTATTTAACATCTTCAACCGACGGCTCCAAAATCGATGAAAAAGCGGGATGCTCATACATAGTCATGCGACATGATACAATTCAAGCAAGATGGAAGGCACAACTGCAGCAGCATAACAGTGTTTTTCAAGGAGAAGCGATAGCAATTGCCCATGCAGTTAACTATTTGCTCTCCTCTAACATCCATAATGCCACCATCAAAACCGACAGTTTGTCGTCGTTGCATGCCATCATGAACCCCAACCATGTCAGTAAAATAATACAGGGCATTCAAGCAAATCTGCGCCAATGCAACCTGCACATCAAGCTTAAATGGATCAAAGCACATGCGGGTCATCTCGGAAACGAGATGGCGGACCAACTTGCCAAAGAAGCGGCGTTAGGCCCGACAGATTTGCAGTTCAATATCCCATGGCCGGTCACATTTCTAAAGAAGTCACTACGACTTAAAGCCATTGGCAAGTGGCAACAAGAATGGGATGACAGTACCACTGGAAGACGTGTCCACTACCACATCAGCTATGTGGACACAGAACGGAACATTGCCAATTCACAGCTGGTTAGGTACATTTCGGGACATGGACCTTTTCCTGTATACTTCTACCGATTTGGCATCTGTTCCTCAGATCAATGTACGTGTGGACACACAGGCTCCCCGGAGCACTACCTAACTTCTTGTCCACTCACAGAGGGACAACATGTTCCTATACCAACGACTAACAGACAGTCATTTTGTAAATTCCTTATTAAGCAGCGCCACTTAATCCAAAAAAATTGGACGTATGATGGATAAGCTGGCAGACCTAAACACAGACTTATGCCAAATATAGCAGTCCGCGGCAGCCTAAGCACACTTGCATATACTCAATGCAATATGAACTGCATAACGTTACAAACAGTTACTGTGAAATTTGTAATGAATGGACGCCTAAACTCTGCGTCTGATTTTACACCCAATATGCAAACCACATAGGCACATGTAATATTAAAAACGCAATAGTATCTGTAAGTTTGTTTCCAAATGTAATCTTGCAAATTGCAAACTGTGCGTATGTGTGTCTAAGACAAAATGTGCTATACTACAGTTCAAATGTATTGATGTAACTCCAACATAGTAAGCGAAGCTATAATGTAACCAGTGTTCAAGTCATTGATTTATATGTAACGTGTGTTTAATGTAAATATAGTGTCTAAACTATTGATTGTACTCAGTATATGTTATTTATATTTATGATATTTATGTATGTTTTTTTTTTGATATTTGTGTATGTTTTTTATATTTAGCATGGTTTCATTCATATAACTGTCCAATGGTTTATTTTACCGATTTTATGTAACATATGCTTACTGTACCCATGATATCAGGGACTGTATTCTGTTTTGTAGCATGCTCCCATATATGATTATCTTATGCAATTTTGTGTAACTGTCTTCCATGCTTTACCCCTGTATGTATATAACTATGTTCCATAGCATATTCTAACACGCACCTGTGAGGCGCAGTAAGTGAAGTTTTAACGCAACCAGAGTTTCAGTCCTTGATATATATATATATAATGTTTGTTTAATGTAGACAAACTCAGTCATTGATTTTCATGTAATGTATATATGATATCTGTGTTTGTATTTTATATTTAAGCATGTCTCTACATATGACTGTATTATGCATTAATATGTAACTGCATGTACATGGCTATGTACCATGGAATATTTTAACATGCTCCAGAGTAGCGCAATAGCATCTGAGTCTTTGATATATGTCAGGTTAATGTAAACATAGTATCTCAGTCACTAATTTTTATGTAACATATGTTTAAGTGTTTATATAATATTGTTTCCATAATCGTTATGTAAATCTCCACAAGTTTCATCCCTGCATGTAAATAACTATGTACATAGATTATTTTAACACGTGCCCCTGTGTGGTGCAGTTAAGTGAAGATTTAATGCAACCAGTGCCTTCACGTTTTTGATATTTAGGCTACGCCTTTTTAATGTAGGATATAGTATTTTAGACATTAAATTTTCATGTAACTTGTGTGTAATGTATCTCTATGATGACGTGTGTGTAATGTATGTGTAATGTATCTAGATGTTTCCATGTAATGTATGTGTAATGTATCTATGATACCCTGTGTTTGTATCTTATAATTCAGCATGTCTCCACATATGATTGTCTTATGCATTATTATTCTAACTGTTTTCTATGCCTTACTTACCCCTGCACATATATAACCTTGTACCATAGAATACTTCAATATATGTGGCTGTATAGCGCAATAAGTGAGTGAAGCTTAAATGCACAGCGTCTGAGTCTGTGATATCCATACAAATGTCTGTCCAATGTAAACATAGTATCCAAGTCTTAATGTTTACGTAACAAAAGTTTAATGTATTTAGGATATTGGGTGTTAATAATTGTTAAGTAACTTTTTCCATGTTTTACCCCTGCATGTAATAACTATGTACCATAGAATATTTTAACGCGCCCCTGTGTGGAGTAGTAAGTGAAATTTTAATGCAACTAGTGCCTCAGTCCTTGATATTTAGGTAATGTTTGATTAATGTAGGTATAATAGTATGTTAAGTTATTGATTTTCATGTAACGTATGTTTAATGTATCGATGATATCTTGTGTTGGTATGTTATATTTCAGCATATCTCCACATATAATTGCTTTATGCATTATCATCTTACTGTTTCCATATCCTACCCCTGCATGCATATAATCTTGTACCAGTAGAATATTTTATCTTACGCCAGTCAGGCGCAATAAGTGAAATCTAATGCACCTAGACGTCCGAGTCCTTGATATTTATATTGACACTGGTGGACGTGGCGCTACACCAATTAACCATATGGTAAAGGGGTGGTGCCCACGTCCTCCGCCGCATGTCGCATGTCGCATGTCTGTCATATTAAGATGGGATTCGCAAGATGGACTTTCTGTGGTTTAAAAAGATCTTTTATTTGAAATTTAAGCAGCCTCTTTATATAGCCAAATAAGAATCTGGACAATACTAGCATTTAATATTTTTATAGTGAGCCATGTGAGAATTTTTCATTTTATGAAATCCATTTAGAGTTCATGAACACCAGCAGTAGGAAAAAGTAATAGGAATACCTTCGCATGCTGAGAAAAGAAGCCTAGCCAATACCTGGATTCTGTAAGCATAACAGGAAACATAATTAAATTAAGCAAACATAAAATCTTAACATAATTATTAATTATCTTACCGCTATCAAGGTACTTGATGTATTTTTTACATCTGGCCTTACAAAGATAGTTAGGAGCATGTCATATATGTAACCACGCTTTTTAAATGCACCCATCAGATCGACCCAGTCGAACTGTTTACTGTTCCATTTGTTGTCAATAACGGGCCATCTACCAAAAGACTGGAGATCATTGAGGAGATCCTTAGTACTGTCTGCTTCTAAAATAACACATAAATAATATATCAGTACACGGATTCGAATTATTTAATTATTATAGCCGATAACTTCATTTTAATCAGTACTCCTACGTATGGTTCATACAGAACCATACCAATCACAGTTTATGCTGGAAAGAGCATATACTGCTTTCTAAAACGACGACCCGATAGTATACGTAAATATTAGCTGAAAAAAGTAAGAAAAATTATTGACATCACATGATGATAGGCAGTTCCATGCCATATATTCATGAATAAGAAATTATAGTAAATAGAATGCGTTTAATTCTATTTGTAATTATTTACATATGCACACAAATAAATGGGACAAATAATGAAAGGGGACAGTAAAAATAAATGGGACAATTCTATATATCTCGTTCTACTGGGTTAAGTGACCAAATTTTATTTGAGTTTTTCATATTTCGAAAATGAAACTATTAGACTCCTGTATAGTATCGCTATAATGTCCATGTTTTGACACAAAATTGCAATTTTTCCTACACGACACACACACACATGTATATATATTTGCATATTTCGATTCTGCACGGCTCAAATTATGCCAAAGTATCATTTTTTGTAAAAATCGCACGAGTACAATTTAAAAAAAATCTCTCAAAATCATATCTCTTCATTGCTAATTGAATTTGGTATATATTGTAGAGGCATTAGGTTATTGAGAAGCAGGAGTCATTAAAAATGAGCAATACCCTCGCTGGGACTCGAACCATGGACTTCTCGAATACGCGCCGAGTGCGCTGACCACTACACCAAGAAGGCATGCTAAGAAGGCGGGAGGAATATATATATATATTAATATCTTTTTTCTTTAATTAAACTTACTTGATTCCTTCTTTCACAGTTCGAAATTTAAGTTCAATCTGAATAAAATTTACATGGATGTTTTAATTAATCTTTTATATTTGTATTTTAGTTATAGTTAGTTTTATAATTTTCTTGTATCATAACGTATAAAAGTTTTAAGATCACCTCAAAGTAAATGTATTTCTAGGCATACCTACAAATATTTAGATCTTTTCATTCAAAATTCCCAAGATAAACGTGAATTTATGTATTGGAGAGATTTTAAATTTGGCATATTTGTTATAAACGATAATAATGCAAAATATGGTTTACGCTCTTTGTTAAAATTATTTGAAAGAATGAACGAAGCACCTTTTTCTCCGCTCGTGCACAGTGAAAAAATGGAAAAGAGAATAGGAATAATAAATTAAGAATTTCGCCAAGAGAATTATTCTTGGCTCAAAATTAAAAAAAAGGACGCTAAGATAAATTTTTTAATTTCTCAGTAAGTTTTTCGCTAAAGTTCACAAAATTTAATATTTAGGCATAATTTGAGTCGTAGAATCGAAATATAGAAAAACATCAGTATCTGATTTCAGAAAAGGTCCGATCTTGTGTCAAAATACTTATGTTACAATAATGCTATATATAAACCTAATATATATCCTAAATCGTGCTTTAGAGCCATTAAAAACACAAACTAAATTTCGTCAATCGGCCCGTTAGGACGGGAGTTCAGAACTGTCCCATTTCTTTTTTTCCTCTGCAGGATGTACATTATATTTCACGTATTCAAAAAGCATTAATATAAAGATATGCAAATAAACGCTTTACTTTAAGATGGGATGTGTATGTCTCTTCTTGAGCTCCGCATCGACGTTCAATGTTTTTTTTAATTCTCCTAAGCGCACCAGAAGGCAATTATTACTGTTTCTCTCTAAGAGAATAGCTTACAACTCATTGAGAGAAGTTGGACAATGCATCTAGGGCATTTAATGATTTTTCAATCGGTTTGAGAACGGGCGATTATTAAGATCCCCACTCCATGCGAGTATTACAGTTATTCCCGAAGTACACTGCTGGGCATTAAAATTGCAACACCATGAAGGAAAGCAAATATAAAAATGACATTTATTGCACGTAAACAGTATGGCATGAAAACAAAATGATTAAATTTGGAAGCATTTTGGATATTTACAGGGGTACGAAATTAGTAGAAATAGCTGCCAAAAAGGTTCCCTTACCCCATTAGGCATGGAGTCAAACTGGGATTGGAGGACAGAAAGGGAAACTCATTCCATGCTCCTTCAAGTCTATGCCGTATTAGCTGGAGAGGTGTGGCGGGCCTGTTTCTCAGCAACTCATAACCAGATGATTTCAATGGGTGACAGATCTGGAGACCGTGCACGCCAGGGCAGCAATCGCATACCCTGTGCATCGAGGAATGTTAGAATGCCACGTGCAAGATTTGCTCTTGCATTATCCTGTTGGAGCATAGCGTTCGGGGGCCTCGAAGATAGGGCACAACCACTAGACGTAAGATGTCAGAAATGTACCCAACTGCGTTCAAATTACCGTCGATCCAAACTATAGATGTGCCTGTCGTGTACCCAATGACTGCCAAAACCATCACACCAGGTGCAGAGCCCCTATGGGGATATCTAATGCTAGCAGGTGACGTACGGTCTCCTCGGACCCTCCAGACACGTATATGGCTATCAGAATACTACACATAGAACTGGAACGCGTTTGTAAAGGAGACATTGTGCCCCTTCTGTACCCAGCTTTGTTGTCTGGCGCACCAGAGTCGCCGTCTCTCTCCGTGCTACATTGTCAATGGTCACCCTGCTGTAAACGTCGACGCACCTTAAGAATTGATACTGGACGTGCTGCAATCATGCCAATTTCTTGACTAATGGTCCGTGATGTGGTCATACGGTTTTGCAGAGCTGACCTCACAATATGTCTGTTCTCTTGGGAGTCAGTCATGGTAGGGCGTTGAGATTGTCTTTTCTTTTATGCAGTGCTTTAGATGTTTCTCCCTCCTGCGTCTAAATGGACTGAAATACCTGCGTCTCCTGCGTCTAAATGGGAATTTGCATATCCCAACATCTTCTTCCTTTCATGTAATTCTGACGTTCATCAAGTCATTCCTTCCTGGTGTTGCAATTTTAATGGCCAGCAGTGTACTTGCACATCAGATGGTCCTGTAAGGATAAGCCTCAGATTTTGATATGATGAGTTTATAGAACACTTTTCATCGCACGATAATTGTTGGTTTGACGGGTCTGATTTCACTCACAAAATGCAACCTGGGGATAGTACGACGATCACGTCGTGGCTTGTCTACTTCCATCTTGCACACTCTTTTGTTCCACGTTCAGTGAAATAATTAAGTAGTATCATTCCAAGTTCTTGAGATCTTTTGCTTCATGCTCTGGTCAGATATTCATTCATTTAATGAGTAAGAACACATGAAATTTGCAGCTGGTCGCCGAAATGTTTTAGGAGTAACTGCGCAATGATTTGAAAGCTTTAGCACCACTTCACCTACAATGTATTCATTTCATGTTTATAATATCAAAAATCATTCGTTTGTCTGATAATTAGTGGAGATTTGAGCTGAATTTCCCAAAATTACGTTTACATTCAAGATGTTTCTGGATAACATTACCATACTTCTTTTCACGCATGGTTATCATTCCAAGGCAAAGATTTTCTTTTGATAAAAAGGGCAAGGAAAGGTTGTATGGAATCTAACTACTTCAGTGCTAAATTCTGGCTCCGTATGTTACTTAGATCATCAAGTAACATATCGTGTCGGGTAGGATTAAAAGACCGCAAAAGTCAAGATAAAAATAGTTCGGAGACAGGCCGCGGTCTCAAAGCTCTCCCTTAACTTGTATAGACTCATTAATTTCCATCCTGATGGGGGCCAACAAAAGTAGAAGTGACAGTAAAGTGGTGGTGTGTATTGAGAATAACGGCAAAGCACACTAGGGCTATCTGCCTAAGGGGAGGGATGCCTTTGTGGAGGACTTTCTAAGGGGAACTGGCTCGTATACACGTTACACATGGGGAAAACCACGAAAACGCCCATGCAGCCAGCCCGTTTGCGGGATTCGAACCTCGGACCGAACTACCAGTGTTCAGCGATTTTACCGCTCGGCCGCTGCTGGGCGCAGTGACAGTAAGGTAAAACATAATAAGCTTTTAGAGACGTTACGTTAATTAGAAGCAGGACAGATGAAAAATGAGCAACGCCCTCGCCGGATATCGAAGCACGGACCTCTGGATACGCACCACCCTTTTAGTTCGGGCGCCACTGTAGAGACATTAGGTTAATTAGAAGCAGGAGAGATGAAAAATGAGCAACGCCCTCGCCGGAATCGAAACACGGACTTCTGGATACTCGCCCAGCGTGCAGATCACTACACTACGAAGGCACGCTAAGAAGGTGGGAGAAATACCTTATAAGCTAATGAATAATAAGCGTAAAATACAAAATTATAAGTGTTTATTACGAGTGCAGATTGTCCTTTGAATATAATGCGGAAAAGGGGGGAAAATTCTATACAGATGACATAATAAGGCCATCAATATGCAGTAATGATTGTTATTCTTCCTTCGAGAAAAGTCCCCTACAGGTGATCGTGAAAGTTATTGTAAAATTCTATAGAGACTTGAAATGTACCAGTGCCAATATTTACGAGAAATCAGTCTTCAGATAAAAGTTATGGCGGCCTCTTTAATAGACTGTGCTGTTTCAAGATAGTTGGCAGCACGCCAAAGCTGAAAATCATCGAATCATCTTTCGTGAACCATAATATCCCTTAAATAATCAAAAACTAACCAGCACAGTCTTTGAAAATTTTCTCAGAAAACTTTGTCATCGTTATTAAGGTTTCAGAAACGTGTCTTCTACAAACAGTGTCTAATTTGCATATTTGTGAAAAATAATTCCTAATGGATAGCAGCATGTGATTGTTTACATCATGCCTTCTATAACCACTGTGAGTTTTACCTTATGAAACTGAAGAACATATTTCGAAAATCAGAATTTGCAACTGAGAGAACTATCATAAATTTTAATATAAGAGAAATTAAAATATACACTGACTACCAATAAGTATTTGGACACCCGTGATGAAAGAAAAACTAACTTATTCAAAATCAATAGTTGGTAGACCTCC